CAGATCCAGCAGGAGATTGCTGACTATATGGCAGAGATTTCCAGCGTCTGTGCAGCAATGGGAGGACAACCATTACACGTAAGTCTTGTTGGAACTTCCAGAATTGAGTGTATTAGCCATTTTCTTGGTCACATGGAGATTTCACATTTGACATGTTTTTATTTGTGGGCCCTCAGTTTGATCCAAAGTCTTGTGGAAGCTTGAAGAAAGCACGTGAAACAGTAGTTACACAACTTGAGGAAATGCGAAAGCTGAAAACTGAAAGGAAGAAAAAGTTTTCAGAAGTATTATATCAGTTGAAGATTATTTCTAGCGAGCTTTATGACTCCATGGTGGTTAATGCATTTTTAGATGAGAACAACTTGTCTTTGAAAAGACTAGAGGAACTACAGAAGCAGTTACTTCAATTACAAAATGAAAAGGTGATTTCTGTCTTTACTGCTGTATTATTTGTTCAAACTTTTGATTGACAGAAATGCATAATGTTCATGATGTGTTCAGGAATCCTGCAATACTTATTGTTAATGTTTGAGTAAATTTAGATGAAATAGTGATATTTTGTTTTCTTCCAAACCTATTCTTACAATCTTACCCTGTCAAAGAATTACTTCCATAAGTTAATTTCTCTATGATTCTTCTTTTGCATTGCTGCAGGCCAATCGACTGAAGCAGGTGTCTGACCAACTGAACACTCTCAATTCATTGTGCTTGGTCCTTGGTTTGGATGTCAAAGACAAAATTTGTGAGATTTGCCCCACTATGGTTAATTCCACAGAGACAAAAGATGTTAGTGATAATACAATAAAGAATTTGACTTATGAAATACAAAGTTTGAGAGAGGTTAAAATACACAGAATGCAGAAGGTCAGCATTCTTGCTCTTATGACATCCTTCATCCTGTCAAATACATTTTTATTTCAAGTTTACTTTCTCACTTTACGTACCGCATCAGCTTCAAAGTCTCGCAGCTGCGCTATTAGAGATGTGGGATTTGATGGATACACCATTGGAGGAACAGCAGAAATTTCACCATGTGACATATAAAATTGCTGCTTTGGAATCTGAATTTACTGAGTCTAAATTGCTTTCAATTGACTCCGTTATTTATGTGAGTTTTTTTTGTCTTTGACTAAAATGTTGGTTTTGTTCTTCTTCCCTTTCACCTAAACTAATTTTGCTTCAATTGTGTAATTTAACTGAATGAGTTTTGCTCCTTGCAGGTTGAGAAGGAAGTTGAAAGACTTCAAGAACTTAAATCAACCAAAATGAAAGAACTAATACTAAAGAAGAAGTTGGAGTTAGAAGAAATATGCAGAAAAACACATCTGACTACACAAACAGTTTTTCCAAGCCAACATTCACTTGAGCTTTTAGACTATGGTAAGATTTTCCTTAATTTTTTTAAGATTTCTGTTATTATGTCATTCTTCATTTATTGCATAATGATTCCACAATATGCCCAATCTTAATTTAAAGTCCTTAGGTATAGATGTTAAGCAACCAAGCCATAGGTTAGTCACAAGGTTGTCGGACAATAACTAGTCCCAAGCAGAAGAGCAATGATATGGCTATTAATTTAAATTTCTTCATTTCTCTCATCTGCTATTCATAAAATTTCCACACAAAAATTGTTTATTTATTATTTACCAATTTGTTTTTGTTTATCAAAATGTGCCATGAATGTCAGTATTGTCCCCTTGTTCATTTTGGTAATCATTCTGCAGATCAAATTGAGCACCTAATTACTAAGACAAAAGAAGAAGCTCTTAGCAGGAAAGAAATCCTTGATAAGGTTGAGAAGTGGTTGGCTGCATGTCAAGAAGAAAGCTGGCTAGAGGAATACAATAGGGTAATGCAGCGTTGTTATTCACAATAATGGATATTTCTTCTTTCACTTTTGTTTACTTTATCGTTTTAGTTACTGTGGCGTTTTAGGATGATAATCGTTATAATGCTGGAAGAGGTGCACACCTTGCCTTAAAACGTGCTGAGAAGGCTCGTGCTTTATTAAACAAAATTCCCGGTGAGTATCCTTTTATCATAATTAGTTCTTCAAATACGTTACTATCATTTTGCAATGGCTTCTGCAATTTACGTATCAAAATTTTGATGAGTGAATCATGTAACACTCAAGTAGAGAAAGGGATGCCATAGAAAACAGTGAGTGATTGATTGAATAAGATGAAAATGCAAAGAGCCCATCATATTTTTATACCAAGAACATAACTTTTGCCAACTAATACATGGATGATTCAGTTACAACAACTACTTAACAATATAGTTTCTGTTATTACAATAAGCTAGATTTGGACTAAATATTGACATATGACATGATGAAATCAGCTTATTAATCGTATTCGGTTGTTTGTCTATTGCAAGCTCATTATTCTTCTAGTGTTGATTTTGTGATAAAAAGGAGTACCATGCACAACGAGGAGTTAATTTTTTAGTCATTATTGTAGATTTATTTCTTTTAATTTGTATCTTATTGAAACAGGGATGGTAGAGGCAATAATTTTAAAAGTTAAAGCATGGGAAGAAGAAAGAGAAGTCGAGTTTTTGTATGATAGAGTAAGTATTTTTAACAATCATTTGTGCAACTTCTAATAATTAGCCAACTAAATTTATGAAATTTTGTTGAGGTTGACTTTCTCTTGGAAAATTATGTCCAAAGTATCATATTGGCATATAAGTTCAATATATTTGGATAGATCTCATCTTTTCATACATTGTTGCTATCATGGATGTGTTTAGAGCCGGCTACTTTCCATGCTTGAAGATTACAGCACATTAAGGCAAGAGAAAGAGAATGAAAGGCAAAGGCAGAGGGTATGAACTATAAGAAATACATTATTGTAACTAAATATATACTAGATGGTGTAGAATTTTCTTTTTAGACATTTCACTTGTTTCTACACATTATCTAATTCAATTGTTTTTGTTTCATATTAATTTTAGGATCAAAAGAAATTTCAGGGACAACTAATGGCAGAGCATGAAACACTTTTTGGTTCAAAACCCAGCCCATTATCTAAAAGTGGGATCAAGGCTGCCAGATGTTCAACAGGAATTCCAAGTTTCAGAAAATTTTCTGTTGGTGGAGCAATGCTTCAGGATCCAAGACATGCTTCTCTTATTCAGCAATCTAATAAAAAGGGTAACAATACCAATCAGAAAGGCTCCATCCTTCGCAACAAGAATACTTACCATTCATCTCAATCCTCAGGTATTTCAAAAAACATTACATTGTGCCTGTGTTTTATCGATAAATATTTATTTTGGAAAATGTCAACATTTTTCCCTTTAAGGCTTGTGTATTTATGGCATAAAAAAAATGTTGTTTTCCAATAAAAGCTTACCTTGAAAGATGCTCAAAATCAAGCCCCTGTTTTTAGTGTTTAAATGTTTTTTGTTGATGGAAACTAATGCAAGAAAGGATAACTCTAATGCCATTGGTCATTCAGTGAAGAAGACTGCACACAATGCAGAAAAGGGAATTGAAATTCAGTCATCATTGACTAGGAAGCCCCTCTATCCTGTTTCTCCCACAGTCCTGTCTATAGCCAACATATCAAATATTCAAGAAGACCAAAAGAAACTGCAGAATTTAGGAACACAAGCAATACTGCAAAAGAGCCAAATGCTAACTGGAACTCCACCTTTCTTGACGTATATAGTTGGCGATGAAGAAAACATGACACCAAAGAATATGGCACTTCCAGTGCCTACCACGCCCTTAACTTCAGTCCCTATGTTGACTGCCACTACACCAGACAGTGTGTATTCTGCTTCAAAGACTAGTCAGTCATGTGAATACTCATTTGAGGAGGTGAGAGCTGGTTTTATGCTACCAAAAACCTATGCTCAATGATTCACAGTTTGGAGGGGAAGTTCAATTCAATCAACACATGATAGGTAGAACTGTTTGAATACAAGTTTATAAGAACTTTTGAAAAAAGAACTTTTTAACTGTAGAGAAGCTCTTATAAATTTGTATTTAAAAAGTCTCTCAGTTTGCCAGTTAATTTTCTGCTTTGCAAATTGCAATAAGAATATTGTCAACTTCTTTTGTTGTTTTTGAGGAATGCTGGTTTGGTGGCCTCATTGTGCACGTGTATTTTGGTTGAAACTTGTTCAACTTTGAAGCATACTATGTTACTATAATGGATTTCAGCATAATCCATAATCAATACTTTGATTTAATCCAAGATGCGGTAACCGAGGGCTCTTTTCCTTTGGGCCACACGATAATGGATTGAGCTATTCTTATTTTATAGTTGCATTTGCTATTAAGTTCCTCTAATTATAAATTTTTGGGATAATGTCAACTTACTGATTTTATTGATAAAAAAAAATGCATACCAGAATATGATACTTTTTGCATCCATGAAAATCAAATTTGATATAAAAAAGAGTTTACAAATACTCGCCTATTCTACTCTATCATAATATGATATAACATTGAAAACTAATAAAATTATGTCACAAATATAAAAACATAACCTTTCTTCATAAAACCTTGCTATTTTTAACTTTAAAAATTAATTTGTAAATTTATTGTATATGTTATTTATTTTTCTTCAATTTGATTGGGACGACTTTGGTTGATTTCAGTGATATTATCTATTAAGACTATTAAGACTATGATTGGTTATATGATGAAGAGGTGAAAAGTATAATTTAATAGAGGTATTTTTTTAAAAAAAGTTATTTAAAAATTTAAGTTTAATTCAACTTAACTTTCTGATTATAAATCAAATACACACTAAATTGTAGTAGTCACTTTCTACTATTGATTTAAGATATAACTTACTTCAACGGTTAAACATAATGAGTGAATCTACACCATTTTTTTTTGGGGTTGGGTGTTTTTCTTGGTGTTGAGTGAATCTACACCATTAAATCCACTTGTGAAAACAAAGTTAAAAACATAAGAAAAGAAGTCTTAAATATACTTTTATGTGATTTTGATTCTACAAATTTCAATTGTGTAATTTTAGTTATTTTGTTATGATTTATTACTGTTGTGATAAAAAAAATATATTGATAACATGACATAATTATATGACATGTAAAAATAAAAATAAAATCTACTATTCTTATATTCAACAATAAACAATAACGCTTAACTATTAAATTAATAACTTTTTAAGTTATAAATAAAAACTAATATATATATATATATATATATATATATATATACCA